CAAAGTAATTTACAGATTCAACACTATCCCCATCAAGCTACCAATGACCTTCTTCAGGGAACTGGAAAAAAAACAGCTTAAACTTCATATGGAACCAAAAGAGAGCCCACATAGCCAAGTCAATTCTAAGTAAAAAGAACACAGTGGGAGGCAACACACTACTGGACTTCAAACTATACTACAAGGCTACAGTAATCAAAACAGCATGGTACTGGTACCAAAACAGAGATATAGACCAGTGGAACAGAACAGAGTCCTCGGAGGCAACATCACACATCTACAACCATTTGATCTTTGACAAACCTGACAAAAACAAGCAATGGGGAAAGAAGTCCCTGTTTAATAAACAGCATTGGGAAAACTGGCTAGCCATGTGCAGAAAGCAGAAACTGGACCCCTTCCTGACACCTTACACTGAAATTAACTCCAGATGGATTAAAGACTTAAACATAAGACCTGGCACCATAAAAACCCTAGAAGAAAACCTAGGCAAAACCGTTCAGGACATAGACATAGGCAAGGACTTCATGACCAAAACACCAAAAGCATTGGCAACAAAAGCCAAAATAGACAAATGGGAACTAATCAAACACCACAGCTTCTGCACAGCAAAAGAAACAGTTATTAGAGTGAATCGGCAACCAACAGAATGGGAAAAAATATTTTGCAATCTACCCATCTGATATCCAGAATCTACAAAGAACTAAAACAGATTTACAAGAAAAAACAAACAAACCCATTCAAAAGTGGGCAAAGAACATGAACAGACACTTTACAAAAGAAGACATGCATAAGGCCAACAAACAGATGAAAAAATGGTCACCATCACTGGTCATTAGAGAAATGCAAATCAAAACTACATTGAGATACCACCTCATGCCAGTTAGAATAGCGATCATTAAAAAATCTGGAGACAACAGATGCTGGAGAGGATGTGGAGAAATAGGAACACTTTTACACTGTTGGTGGGAGTGTAAATTAGTGCAACCATTGTGGAAGACAGTGTGGAGATTCCTCAAGGATCTAGAGATAGAAATTCCATTTGACTCAGCAATCCCATTACTGGGTATATATCCAAAGGATTATAAATCATTCTATTATAAGGACGCATGCACAGGAATGTTCATTGCAGTACTGTTTACAATAGAAAAGACCTGGAACCAACCCAAATGCCCATCGATGATAGACTGGACAGGGAAAATGTGGCACATATACACCATGGAATACTATGCAGCCATCAAAAACGATGAGTTCATGTCCTTTGTAGGGACATGGATGAATCTGGAAACCATCATTCTCAGCAAACTGACACAAGAACAGAAAATCAAACACCACATGTTCTCACTCATAGGTGGATGTTGAACAATGAGAACACATGGACACAGGGAGGGGAGCATCACACACTGGGGTATGTAGGGGGGAAATAAGGGAGGGCCAGTGGGAGGGGGAGGTGGGGAGGGATAGCATGGGGAGAAATGCCAGATATAAATGATGGAGAGGAAGGCAGCAAATTACACTGTCATGTGTGTACCTATGCAACAATCTTGCGTGTTCTTCACATGTACCCCAAAACCTAAAATGCAATTAAAAAAAAGAAAGAATATTAAGTAGAAAACACAAATTTAAAAAAATGACAAAGGAGATATCACCACCAATCCCATAGAAATACAAACTACCTCACGCCTGTATTCCCAGCATTTTGGGAGGCCAAGGTGGGTGGATCACAAGGTCAAGATATCGAGACCATCCTGGTCAGCATGGTGAAACCCCGTCTCTACTAAAAATACAAAAAATTAGCTGGGCATGGTGGCGCATGCCTGTAATCCCAGCTACTCAGGAGGCTGAGATAGGAGAATTGCCTGAACCCAGGAGGCGGAGGTTGCGGTGAGCCAAGATTGCACCATTGCACTCCAGCCTGCATAACAAGAGTGAAACTCTGTCTCAAAAAAAAAAAAAAAAATACAAACTACCATCAGAGTTTACTACAAACACTTCTATGCAAATAAACCAGTAAATCTAGGATAAATGGGTAAATTCCTGGACACTTACACTCTCCCAAGATTGAACCAGGAATTTGAATCCTTGAATAGACTAATAACAAATTCTAAAGATGAGGAAGCAATTAATAGGTTATTAACCACAAAAAGTCCAGGACCAGCTGGGTTCACAACTGAATTCTAGCAGAGGTACAAAGAGGAGCTGGTACTATTTCTTCCGAAACGATTCCAAACAATACAAAAAGAGGAAATTTTCCCTAAATCATTTTATGAGACCAACATCATCCTGATACAGAAACCTGGCAGAGACACAACTAAAAAAGAAAATTTCAGGCCAATATTCATGATGAACATTGATAAAAAAAAATCCTCAATAAAATACTAGCAAAAAGAATCCAACAGCATATCAAAAAGCTTATCCATCACAGTCAAGTTGGCTTTATACCTGGGATGCAAGGCTGGTTCAACATATGCAAAGCTATAAATGTAATCCATAACATAAACATAACCAAAGACAAAAAACACAAGATTATCTCAGTAGATGCAGAGAAGACCTTTGACAAAATTAACAGCCCTTTATGCTAAAAACTCTTGATAAACTAGATATCAATGGAATGTATCTCAAAATAATAAGAGCTATGTGTCACAAACCCACAGTCAATATACTGAATGGGCAAAAACTGGAAGCATTCCCTTTGAAAACTGGTACTAGACAAGGGTGCCCTCTCTCACCACTCCTATTCAACAGGATATTAGAAATTCTGGCCAGGGCAATCAGGCAAGTAAAAGAAATAAAGGGTATTCAAATAGGAAGAGAGGAAGTCAAATTATCTCTATTTATGTACAACATGATTGTATATTTAGAAGACCACATCGTCTCAGCGCAAAGTCTCCTTAAGCTGATAAGAAACTTCAGCAAAGTCTCAGGATACAAAATCAATGTACAAAAATCATAAGCATTCCTATACAACAATAGCAGACAGAGAGCCCAATCATGAGTAAACTCACATTTACAATTGCTGCAAAGAGAATAAAATACCTAGGAATACGAGTAACAAGGGATGTGAAGGATCTCTTCAAAGAGAACTACAAACCACTGCTCAAGGAAATAAAAGAGGACACAAACAGATGGAAAAATATTCCATGCTCATGGTTAGGAAGAATCAGTATTGTGAAAATGGCCATACCACCCAAAGTAATTTATAGATTCAATGCTATCCTCATCAAGCTACCATTAAATTTCTTCACAGAATTGGAAAAAAACTACCTGAGACTTCATGTGGAACCAAAAAAGAGCCCACATAGCCAAGACAATCCTAAGCAAACAAACAAACAAACAAAAAGGCTGGAGGCATGCTACCTGACTTCAAACTATACTACAAGGCTACAGTAATCAAAATGGCATGGTTCTGGTACCAAAACACAGATGTAGACCAAGAGAACAGAATAGAGGCCTCAGAAGTGACACAGCACATCTTCAATCATCTGATTATTGACAAACCTGACAAAAACAAGCAATGGGGAAAGGATTCTCTATTTAATAAATGGTGTTGGGAACACTGGCTAGCCATATGCAGAAAGCTGAAACTGGATTACTTCCTTACACCTTATACAAAAATTAACTTCAGATGTATTAAAGATTTAAACATAAGACCTAACACCATAAAAACCCTAGAAGAAAACCTAGGTAATACCATTCAAGACAGAGGCATAGTCAAGGACTTCATGACCAAAACACCAAAAGCAATGGCAATGAAAACCAAACTAGACAAATGAGATCTAATTAAACTTAAGAGCTTTTGCACAGCAAAAGAAACTATCATTAGAATGAACTGGCAACCAAAAGAATGGAAAGAAATTTTTGCAATCTACTCATCTAACAAAGGGCTAATACCCAGAATCTACAAAGAACTTAAACAAATTTACAATAACAGACAACCCCATCAAAAAGTGGGTGAAGCATATAAACAGACAGTTCTTGAAAGAAGACATTTATGCAGCCAATAAACATATGAAAAAAGCTCATCATCAATGGTCATTAGAGAGATGCAAATCAAAACCACATTGAGATACCATCTCACGCCAGTTAGAATGGCGATCATTAAAAAATCTGGAGACAACAGATGCTGGAGGGGATGTGGAGAAATAGGAACACTTCTACACTGCTGGTGGGAGTGTAAACTAGTTCAACCATTGTGGAAGACAGTGTGGCGATTCCTCAAGGACCTAGAAATAGAAATTCCATTTGACCCAGCAATCCCATTGCCGGGTATATACCCAAAGGACTATAAATCATTCTGTTATAAAGACATATGCACATGTATGTTTATTGAGGCACCATTCACAATAGCAAAAACTTGGAACCAAACCAAATGCCCCTCAATGATAGACTGGATAGAGAAAATGTAGCATATATACACCATGGAGTACTATGCAGTCTTAAAAAAGAATGAGTTCATGTCCTTTGCAGGGACATGGATAAAGCTGGAAACCATTATTCTCAGCAAACTGACACAAGAACAGAAAACCAAACAATGCCATGTTCTCACTCATGAGTGGGTGTTGAACAGTGAGAACACATGGACACAGAGAGGTGAACATCACACACCGGGGCCTATCAGGGGGTGGGGGGCTAGGAGAGGAATAGAAGGGTGGGGGGATTGAGGAGGGATAGCATTAGGGATACCTAATATAGATGATGGGGTGATGGATGCAGAAAAAGAAAGAAAGGAAGAAAAGGAAATAATGAAATGGAAAAAAAAAAAGGACTGAAAAGGCTGCATGACATATGGGACACTGTCAATCCAAATATTAAAATTCTGAGAGTTCCAGAAGGAAAAGATACAGGCAAAGACATAGAAAACCTACTTAACAAAATAATAGCTGAAAGCTACTGATGCCATTTGGATGACCGTCCCCTCCAAATCTCACGCTGAGATGTAATCCTCAGTGTTGGAGGTGGGGCCCGGAAGGTGTTTGATGTAATCCTCAGCGTTGGAGGTGGGGCCCGGAAGGTCTTTGATGTAATCCTCAGCGTTGGAGGTGGGGCCCGGAAGGTCTTTGATGTAATCCTCAGCGTTGGAGGTGGGGCCGGAAGGTGTTTGATGTAATCCTCAGCGTTGGAGGTGGGGCCGGAAGGTGTTTGATGTAATCCTCAGCGTTGGAGGTGGGGCCCGGAAGGTGTTTGATGTAATCCTCAGCGTTGGAGGTGGGGCCCGGAAGGTCTTTGATGTAATCCTCAGCGTTGGAGGTGGGGCCCGGAAGGTGTTTGATGTAATCCTCAGCGTTGGAGGTGGGGCCGGAAGGTGTTTGATGTAATCCTCAGCGTTGGAGGTGGGGCCCGGAAGGTGTTTGATGTAATCCTCAGCGTTGGAGGTGGGGCCCGGAAGGTGTTTGATGTAATCCTCAGCGTTGGAGGTGGGGCCGGAAGGTGTTTGATGTAATCCTCAGTGTTGGAGGTGGGGCCGGAAGGTGTTTGATGTAATCCTCAGCGTTGGAGGTGGGGCCCGGAAGGTCTTTGATGTAATCCTCAGCGTTGGAGGTGGGGCCTGGAAGGTGTTTGGCTCCTGGCTGGGTGTTGTCTTTGTAATGGTAAGTTCTCGTAAGACCTGGTCATTTAAAATGTGTGGCACCCTCTCCACAACGCTCCCTCTGCTGCTTCTGCTTTTGCCATGTGACTTCCCTTCTCTCACTTTGATTTGAGCCATGACTGTAAGCTTCCCAAGACCTCCCTAGAAGCCAGGCAGAGGCCAGCACTATGCTTCTGGTAATTCCTGCAGAACTGTGAGGGAATTAAAATTCTTTTCTTTATATATTATCCATTCTCGGGTATTTCTTTTTTCTTTTTATTTTGTGAGACAGTCTCACTCTGTCACCCAGACTGGAGTGCAGTGGCACAATCTCGGCTTACTGCAAACTCCACCTCCTGGGTCCAAGCAATTCTCATGCCTCAGCCTCTCAAATAGCTGGGACTACAGGTGTGTATCACCACATCCAGCTAATTTTGATATTTTTAGTAGAGATGAGGTTTCACCATGTTGCCTAGGCTGGTCTTGAACTCCTAAGCTCAGGCAATCCACTTGCCGTGGCCTCCCAAAGTGCTAGGATTACAGGTGTGAGCCACTGTTCCCAATCTTGGTCATTTATTTACAGTCGTGCAAGGGCAGCCTAACACAATGAGTGAGTTCTTGTTCTGAGTTTACACAAGATCTGATTTTTTAAAAGAGTGTGGCATGTCCCCCTCTTTCTTGCTCTTGTTCTTGCCATGTGACATGCTGGCTTCCTTTTCACCTTCAGCCATGATTGCAAGCTTCCTGAAGGCCTCATGGGACGTAAATGCTGGCACTATGCTTTCTGTACAGTCTGCAGAACTGTGAGCCAATTAAACCTCTTTTCATTATAAATTATTTAGTCTCGGGTATTCCTTTATAGTAATACAGGAATGGGCTACCACTCTTTCCAAGTCTTGCAAGACATATAGACATTCAGATATGGGAAGCTCAGAGATCACAAAATAGATTCAACCCAGAAGGGCTTTTCAAGGCACATTATAGTCAAACTGTCAAAAGTAAAGAGAAAGAAGTAATTGGAAAGGCAGAAGGAGAACAGCATCAAGTCACATAACAGAATCTCCATCAGGCTAACATCAGATTTATCAGCAGAAACTTTACAGGCTAAGAGAAAATGTTATTCTATATTAAAAGAGCTAAAATAGCCTTTCCCAGACAAGTAAAAACTGGGAAATTATCATCACTAGCTGATCCTACAAGAAAGGCTTAAGGAGTCCTACATCTAGAAGTGAAAGGATGATATCTGCCACCATGAAAACACATGAATGTCACTGGCACAGCAGATGTACAAATGAGAAAAGGAAAGGAGTCACACATTACCACTATGGTAAACCAGCAGACTGCACCCGTAAGCCAAGAAACAGAGACAAGGAAAGGAATAAACGGTATACAAAACAACCCCCACACAGTGAACAAAACGACAGGAGTAAGTCCTCACCTGTCATGACAACTTGGAATATAAACAGACTAAATTCTTCACTTCAAATGTGTCGACTGGCTGAATACATTAAAAGCGTAACTCAGTGATATACTACCTATGAGAAACTCACTTCACCTGTAAAGAAACATAAAGCAAAAGTCAAGAACGGAAAAGTATTTTCACACGAATGGCAAATAAAATGAGCAAAAGTGGTTATACTCCTATCAGATAAAATAAACTCTAAGTAAAAAACTGTAAGAAGAGACAAAAAGTTCATTATTAATAATAAAGGGATCAGTTCAGCAAGAGGATATAATAATTACATATATACAAATCCAAACCTGGAGCACCCAGACTATCAGGTCTAAAGGGAGATAGACCGTAACACAGTGATGTCTGGGGACTTCAGCACTCCACTCTCTGCATGGGACAGATCACCGAGATCAAAATCAGCAGACATTGGACAGAAACTGCACTTTAGAAGAAACGGACACAACAGACATTTCCAGAACATCGTATGAAACAGCCACAGAATACACATTCTTCCCAGCAGTACATGGAACATGCTTCAGTAGAGACCATATGTCAGGCCATAAAACCAGTTGCAAAAATGTTTTTAAACTTGAAGTTATATCAAGTATCTTATATGGCCACAATGGAATAAAACCAGAAATAAATAACAAGAGGAACTTGGAAAACTGCACGAGTATATGGAAATAAAACAACATGCTCCCAAATGACTATGGAGTCAGTGAAGAAATTAAGAAGTAAATCAAAAGTATTCTTGAAACAAACGAAAATGAAAATACAACAAACCAAAACCTGTGGGATACTGTAAAAGCAGTGACTAGGGGGACGTTTATAGCAACAAACGCCCGCTTCAAAAGAGTACGACAATTTCAAACCAACAACCTAACAATGCACCTCAAGGATCTAGAAAAGCAAGAACAAATCAAACTCAAAATTAGTAAAAGGAAAGAAATAATAAAGATCAGAGCAGAACTAAACGAGAAAGACACTTAAAAAAATACAAAGGACGGCACAGCACGGTGTGGCTCCTGCTTGCCTTTCCCTCTTGCTGGAGAGAGGTGCCTATGGGGCCCCATTGCCACGGCTACCACCACTGCCACATGACCACCACCACCGTGGCCGCGCCACCGGGTGCAGTCTCTATGGCGGCAAGAAGGAGGTGGGGAGTGAGCTCAGCGACACAAGTACATAAATAAAGGATAAAATGGTCTATGGAACAAATCTTCAATCAAGTATAACATACTGATGCTTGGCATCTAGACTCCCTTGTGCCCTCACTATGCCAGCAACAACTAAAGCTCATAGCCAAAGAATTTGTGAAGTTTGGGCTTGCAATTTGAATTATGAGATGAAGAAAATTCGTCGAGTTATCTGAAAATATCATCATGTTGCTATGTGTGTTGCAAGACTCATTGCAGAATTCAGGAGCAATGCTGACTGTCAGTAGCGATTACTGCAGTGTAATGGAGACTTCTCAAAGATACTTCAGCTGTGATTGACATTTATGAGCAAGCAAGAGGAATACCCTCCAGGAACTCCACCTTGGCAGCTTAATTTTAAATTTAATTTCACAGAGGACATATATGCCCATCACTCTGTAGAGCTACTAACAACATCTGGTATCCAGTATAGAAACATAAGAAGGAAGGAATGGAGACCCACTACTCTGCGAAGCTTCTTTTTGTTAATTATTATACTTTAAGTTCTGGGGTACATGTGCAGAATGCGCAGGTTCTTTGAGATCCTTTGACTGTTTTTTCCTGTCATTTGTGCTCTGACATACCTCAGGAAGAGCTGTAAAAATCTCGAAGGTGGATTACAGGAGGTGGTAGGACAGGTAGAGCTGGAGCAGATAGCACCACAACATCGGGCAGGATCTGATTCATTGCTCATAGGAATGGCCTTTTCCAAAATGAGAGAAATGTTCTCTGAAGAGCATATTGATGATGCGGAATATTGTGGTTCATCCTATGCACAGAATGGCACTGGGAATGCATATGAAGAGGAAGCCAACAAGCAGTCATGACATGAAAGAGTCCTTTTAATGTTATTTCGAGCTACACACATGCTTGTATCTAGATCTGATCTCCGACTGAATCCCCTGAACAATAGACGGCACCTGGAACAACAGACAGTACTCCAATTTTCATGGCCCATTTTATTGTCTGTCTTTCAGTACGAAGTATGACCCTTCCTACCTCAGATGTTAATAAAAAGAAACACACAGGCCTGGCATGGTGGCTCATGCCTGTAATCCCAGCACTTTGGGGAGGCCAAGGTGGGTGGATCACGAGGTAGGGAGTTTGAGACCACCCTGGCCAACATGGTGAAACCCCATCTCTACTAAAAATAAAAAAAAATTAGCTGGACGTGGTGGCACACACCTGTAATCCCAGCTACTCAGGAGGCTGAGGCAGGAGAATCGCTTGAACCTGGGAAGTGGAGATTGCAGAGAGCCGAGATTGCACCATTACATTCCAGCCTGGGTGACAGGGTGAGACTCCGTCAAGAAACGAAGAAGAAAGAAAAAAAGAGAGAGAGAGAGAGAGAGAGAGAGAGAGAGGAAAGGAGGAAGGGAAGGAAGAAAGGAAGGAAGGGAGGGAAAAATGGATAAAGGGAGGGAGGTTAGATTTGGCCTTAATTCAATATATCAGTGAGCAAGCGTGTGTGACAGAGAGTGGGAAAAGTTACATCATGTTAAATATTTTGATAAAGTTTACCTACTCAAGTTTGGCTTATTTTCCTCTTTTCCTACATTAACTAGAACTGGCTATAATTTATTTTCGTGTTTCATATCTCTCCCTTTCATTCTGCAGGAGTCTTAGCTATTTAAGATAGTGGACCATCAATTTTGCACTTTAGAGGGTGATTCTGACTCAAAACCTCTGTTTTATCAGACATTTTATTTTTTCTTGATCTTAGCTGGAAAAATGACATCTGCCAACTTTACACAGCATTCGCTTGTTTTTGACCCACAGAATATAGCACATTCATTGTGCAAACTGTCGATTCAACAAAACTAAAAAAAAAAAAAAGCAAGAAACTACTGAGGAGTTTAGCAACTGCTGTTTCTGTAAGTAGTGTTTAATCTTTCAAGCACATCTAGTGTCTGTCAGTTTCTAATTGGCACGTGTAGGCTGCTCTGTGACTGAAGAGTTTTTAAACCGGCTTTACATCCTTCAGGAAAAATCCTTTGTGATCGAACGTTTCGTATCCGCCAGGAAACCGGTATTCAAGATGTTGAAACTACAGTTATTTTATGACACCACATTTCCCTTGATCTGCTTCTTTTTATTCCATCACTGTTTACCCTTGTTTTTTTTTTTTTTAATTTTCAGCCATATTTATGATGCTCTTTGTTGGATACATAAATCAATTTTATTAAAATCCAAAGATAACAGGTCTTTAGGTATATTTTGTACCAAATTAAATTAGAAGACAAAAATTGTGCTTTTATAGTTGCTACAAAGATAAATAATGGATATATCTGATACAAAACAAAACAATACAATATACATGTATATGTATATATGTATAATATATACATATTCTCATATATAGATATAGCTAATAAAATTACCTAGAGTGTAATGCTTGTTTTTGTGTGTATATCTTTGTGATCTGTTTTATATATACTGATGAAAGAGACTGAAATATTTAGCCATACAGGACATGTGACCAGACCAGAGCATACGTAGGGAGACTTTTTGGTGATCATTAACTCTACCCTGAAACGATGGACTGCAAGGTACAATGTGTGTTACCTACACTTCAATCGGTAATATTAGCAAATCTTCAAATGTTAGCCACATTGGTTTGTCTCTCTTGTATGTTCTTTATTCATGACAGTACAGTGCTGTAACTGGGCAGTCCTTTTTAAACAAAATGTCACGTACAAAACAGAGGATATTATTTGTTTTTAGAGCTTTTGTAAATAAAGACTTCAAAAATGTTTCCTTATAAAAAAGGTTAAAAAAGTTAAAAAATACAAAGGATTAATAAAATAAAAAACTGGTTTTTTTGAAAAGAAAAAATTGATAAACCACTAGCTAGAGTAACAAAGAAAAAATGAGAGGAGACTCAAATAAATAAAAGCAGGAAAAAAATGAGACATTACAACTGATACCACAGAGATCCAAAGACCCTTAGAGACCATTATGAATAACTATACATTAACAAATTGGAAAACTTAGAGGAAATAAATACATTCCAGGACACATATAACCTACCAAGATTGAACCAGGAAAAAAATAGAAAACCTGAACTGATGAGTAACAGTTAATAATATTGAATCAGTAATCAAATTCTCCCAACAATACTGAAAAAGTCCAGGTCCAGACAGCTTTGCTGCTGAGTTCTAACAAACTTATAAAGAAGAACTAACACCAATTCTTCTTGAACCACTGCAAAAATCTGAAGAGTAGGGAATTCTTCCTAAGTCATTCCATGAGTCTAGCATTACCCTGATACTGAAACCAAATAAGGACACAATAAAAAATAAAACCACAGGCCAATATCTTTGATAAACACAGATACAAAAACCTTTGAAAAAATGCTAACAAACCGAATCCAACAACATATTAAAAAGATAATATACCATGATAAAGTGGGATTTATCCCAGAAATGCAAGGATAGTTTAACACACACAAATCAATAAAAGTGATACATCACATCAACAAATGAAGGACAAAACCCATGTGATCATTTGATAAAATTCAACATCACTTCTTGATAAAAACTCTCAATTAATCAGGCATAGAAGGAACCTAACTGCTATGGTTTGTCTCTGTGTCTTTACCCACATCTCATGTCGAATTGTAATTCCCAGTGTTAAGAGAAATACCTGGTAGGAGGTGATTGGATCATAAGGGTGAATTTCCCCATTGCTATTTTCGTGATAGCGAGTGAGTTCTCATGAAATCTGGTTGTTTAAAAGTGTGTAGCACTTCCTTGTTCACTCTCTCCCTCTCCTGCTCTGTTGTGGTAAGACGTGCTTGCTGAGCCTTTGCCCTCTGCCATGACTGTAAGTTTCCTGAGGCCACCCAGCCATGCTTCCTGTGCAGCCTGCCGAACTGAGTCAATTAAACCTCTTGTCTTCATAAATTACCCAGGCTCAAGCAGTTCTTCATAGCAGTGTGAGAATAAATTAACACTACTTCAAGATAATAAAGGCCATCTATAACAAACCCACAGCTAACATCACACTGAATAGGGTATGCCTGTAGTCCCAGCTGGGGCTGGGACTTGGGAGGCTAAGGTGGGAGAATTGCTTGAACCGAGGCAGTGATGTGATGCCATGAGCTTTTCATCACATCACTGCCCTCCATCCTGAGTGACAGAGCAAGTGAGATCTTGTCTCCAAAAAAAAAAAGAAGAAAAAGATACAAAATATCCAACAGATATATGAAAATATTCTCAACATTACTAAACATCAGAGAAACGCAAATCAAAACTGCAACGAGATATAATTCCACCCAGTTAAAATAGTTGTCATGACAGAGATAAAAAAATAACAAGTGCTGGTGAGAATGTAGAAAAAAGGGAACTCTTTTACACTGTTGGTGGGAATGCAAATTAGTACAGCCATTATGGAAAAAATATGAAGGTTTCCTAAGAAACTAAAAATGAACTATGATCCAGCAATCCCACTACTGGGTATTTAACTAAAGGAAAGGAGGTCGGTATATCAAAGGAGTACCTGCACCCCAAGTATACTTCAGCACTGTTCTCAATGCCAAGATAGAGAATCAGTGTACGTGTCCATCAGTAGATGAATGGATAATGTCATATATACATAATAAAATACTATTCATCTATAATAAAAGGTCGAAATTCTATCATTTGCAACATGAACAAAACTGGAGGTCATTATGTTAAGAGAAATAAGCCAAGACAGAAAGACAGACATTGTACATCCTCACTCATAGGTGGGAGCTAAAAAACGTTGATCTCATAGAGGTAGAGAGTAGAATGATCGTTTCCAAATGCTGGAAAGGGTGGTAGAGCGATGAAGAGAGGCTGTTTGGGGGGTACAAACATAGAGTCGGATAGAAGTAATAAATTGTTAGCGCTTGGTAGCACAAAAGGATGACTACAGTTAACAATAGTTTATTTTATATTTCAAAATAGGGAGGAGAGGCCGGGCATGGTAGCTCATTCCTGTAATCCAGCATTTTGGGAGGCTGAGACAGGGGGGTCACCTGAGGTCAGGAGTTCAAGATCAGCCTGGCTAACATGGTGAATCCCTATCTCTACTAAAAATATAAAAATTAGCCAGGTGTGGTTGCACCTGCCTGTAATCCCAGCTATTCAGGAGGCCGAGGCCAAGAATTGCTTGAACCCATGTGGTAGAGGTTGTAGTGAGCTGAGATGGTGCCACTGCACTCCAGCCTGGGTGACAGAATGAGATCCTATCTCAAAAAAGAAAAAAAACACAGGGAGGAGAGAAGATTTGAAATGTTCTCAAGACAAATGAATGATAAATGTTTGAGGGGATGAATATTATACATACCTTAATTTGGTCATTACAGATTTATGCATATCTCAAAATATCACATGTACCCCATAAATATGTATAATATTTATATATCAATAAAAATAATGTTATCAGTATAGTTTGAACTTTTTAAATTTTAACAAAAATTTCTTTAAACAAACAAAAATGTTTTTTTCCATAACAGTAAAAATGATTCTTATCTATAACTATGTAAATGGATGATGCTCCGCATAGACTATAAATCACTGAAAGTCAAATCTTGATTTAAACTGATTTAAATATCTTATCAGTTTCCTCATTAAAGAGTTCTTCTATAAAGTGTTGATACATGTTTATTTTAAATTTTCGTGAGAGTCATGAATTTGCCGTTCTGAGTCTAGCTTAGCACTTTTGGAGGTCATCCGCAAAGCTGCTCCAGGGACTCTCCTACAGGAGGCAGGGGAATCGTACTGCATGAGACATGCGCCTCACGGGCTGCCTAAGTCCAGGCACCTCTTTCCTTAGTTCTCAGAGTGGCTTCCAAGTGGCAGTGGAGCCTCGTGAACTTTTAACATCAGCAGAAATTACGTTTTATCGTATGTCAGCTTGAACATAATTGTGAAGATCTTAGAAAACTTAAAACATAGAACTAATGTTAAAATGAGCTAATAAAAGGAATAGATTGGATACAAGCATTGAGTACTAAGAATAATTTAGATTTATTTTCTTTTTCTTCTTATTTTCATATGCAATAAAGCAGTTGTATCTTTTGGTCATTTTTGCCACTTTAAGAAAGTACAAGAGGATTGGGTGGTTGTAGAAAGTTGTGCTTTGTATATTCAAGATCTTTGATGATTTGCTAAAATGCTTGTATGTGACAGAGGTCAATTATCCATTCTGCAAAACAGAAATTAATTACTTTGATTAAAAATAATAATAATATAGGTGGCTAAAACTATATCAGAACAACAGTAACAAGGAAAATGACCTGTATGTTTCTTTTTCAAAGGTAAAGAAATAGTCCTAAAGTGTCAGTTTCTTCAAGTCACGGAAAGAAAGAGCACAATGAAGGACAAAGATCGACCAGAGTGAATTGCATTTGCCTTGGTTGAAAGCATCTGAATCTGAAAAAAATTATGAACTCTACTAAAATTTTGGCAAATTTTGGTCAGTTTCAATAGGCCTGCTTTCCTCATTTATTGATTAATTACTTCATTTACCACATAAAAGATTGTTAATTGTCATCTCTGTAATCTGCCTGCAGATTAAAAATTCTATGTCTTAGAATAATTTCCTGTGTTTTTTGTTGACTTTATCATGATTATTTTAAAAAAAAGAAAACAGAAGTTTTAAGTTTCTGTGGAGCTGTATTATTTTCTTGTATGTTTATTTTTGAATATTTTATTATAATTATGTTAAGTTGCTAAATGTTGCTCCTCGGTCACCCAAGACCCTCTCTACATCAAGTGATCAATTCTCTTCCCACAACCTTCTTGAATTTGCTCTCCCAAGATCCGGTCCTATAATTAGAACAAATAAAAAATATTTTCAGAATATTATTTGCACCTAGAACTATTATTGAAATAACCTCAAAAGCCCATGGAAAATAGCCACAATTTGTTATTTTGCCTTATAAATAGGAGAGATGTTAGAAATAATTAGGCATGTTTGACATGTTTCATATTTCTTAACCAGCTCAGCCTTTATTGTGAGAGCTGCAGAGGAGGCCAGGCATGGTGGCCATGCCTGTCATCCCAGCACTTTGTGAGGTTGAGGTGGGTGGATCACTTGAGGTCAGGAGTTCAACAACAGCCAAATCAATCAAGCAGAAGAAAGGATACCAGAAATTGAAGATCAACTCATTGAAATAAAGTGACAAAGCAAGATTAGAGAAAAAAGAGTGAAAAGAAATGAACAAAGTCTCCAAGAAATATATGATTATGTGAAAAGACCAAATCTGCATTTGATTGATGTATCTCCAAGTTGGAGAACACTCTTCAGATTATTATCCAGGAGAACTTCCCCAACCTAGCAAAGCAGGCTAACATTCAAATTCAGGAAAAACAGAGAACACTGCAAAGATATTCCTTGAGAATAGCAACCCCAAGGTACATAATTGTCAGATTCACCATGCTTGAAATGAAGGAAAAAATGCTAAAGGCAGCCAGAGAGAAAAGTCAAGTTACCCACAAAGGGAAGCCCATCAGACTCATGGAAGATCTCTTGGCAGAAACTCTACAAGCCAGAAGAGAGTGGGGGCCAATATTCAACATCCATAAAGAAAAGTATGTTCAACCCAGAATTTCATATCCAGCCAAACTAAGTTTTATAGCAAAGGAGAAATAAAACCCTTCACAGACAAGCAAATGCTGAGAGATTTCATCACCACCAGACCAGCCTTACAAGAGCTCCTGAAGGAAGCACTAAACATGAAAAGGAACAACCAATCAGTACCAGCCACTGCAAAAACATTCCAAATTTTAAAGGCCATCGATACTATGAAGAAACTGCGTCAACTGATTGGCAAAACAACCAGCTAGCATCAAAATGGCAGGATCAAATTCACACCTAATAATATTAACCTTAAATGTAAATGGGCTAAATGCCCCAATTAAAAGACAGACTGGCAAATTGGATAAAGGGTCGAGACCCATCAGTGTACTGTATTCAGGAGAGTCATCTCACATGCAAAGAAACACATGGGCTCAAAATAAAGGGATGGAGGATTTACCAAGCAAACAGAGAGCAACAAAAAAGTAGGAGTTGCAATCCTAGTCTCTGATAAAACAGACTTTAAACCAACAAAGATCAAAAGAGACAAAGAAGGGTATTACATAATGGCAAAGGGATTAATGCAAGAAAAGAGCCAGTGATCCAAAATATATATGCACCCAATACAGGAGCACCCAGATACATAAAGCAAGTTTTTAAAGACCTACAAAGAGACTTAGACTCCCACACAATAATAGTGGGAGATATTAACACCCCACTGTCAATATTAAACAACCGATGAGACAGAAAATTTACAAAGAAATCCAGGACTTGAATTCAGATCTGGACCAAGCGAACCTAATAGACATCTACAGAACTCTCCACCCCAAATCCTCAGAATATATATTTTTCTCAGCACCACATCACACTTACTCTAAAATAGACCACATAATTGGAAGTCAATCACTTCCTCAACAAGCACAAAAGAATGAAAATCATAACAAACAGTCTCTCACACCACAGTGCAATACTATTAGAACTCAGAATTAAGAACCTCACTTGAAATCACACAACTACATAGAAACTGAACAACCTGCTCTGGAATGACTACTAAATAAATCATGAAAGGAAGGCAGAAATAAAGTTCTTCAAAACCAACGAGAACAAAGGCACAATGTACCAGAATCTCTGGGACACATTTAAAGTGGTGTCTAGAGGGAAATCTATAGCACAAAATGCCCACATGAGAAGTGAGGAAAGATCTAAAATTGACACCCTAATGTCACAATTTAAAGAACTAGAGGAGCAAGATCAAGCAGACTCAAAAACTAGCAGAAGACAGGAAATAACTAAGATCAGAGCAGAACTGAAGGAGACAGAGACAGAAAAAAATCCTTCAAAAAATTAATAAACTCAGCAGCTGGTGTTTTGAAAAGATCAACAAGATAGACCACTAGCCAGACTAATAAAAAAGAAGAGAGAGAAGAATTGAGCAGGTGCAATAAAACCACCAATCCCACAGAACTACAAACTATTATCAGAGATTACTACAAACACCTCTATGCACATAAACCAGTAAATCAAGAAGAAAGGAATAAATTCCTGGACACTTATGTTCTCCCAAGACTAAACCAGGAAGTCGAATCCTGAATAGACCAATAACAAAGTCTGAAGTTGAGGCAGCAATTAACAACCTATCAACCAAAAAAGTCCAGGACCAGATGGGTTCACAGCTGAATTCTACCAGCAGTACAAAGAGGAGCGGCTATCATTCCTTCTGAAACTATTCCAAACAAAACAAAAAGAGGGAATTTTTCCTAACTCATTTTATGAGACCAACATTATTCTGATAGCAAAACTTGGCAAAGACACAACTAAAAAAAAAATCTTAGACCAATAACCATGATGAACATTAATGTGAAAATCTTCAGTTAAATACTGGCAAACCAAATCCAACAGCACATCAAAAAGCCTATCCATCGCAATCAAGTTGACTTCATCCCTGGGATACAAGGTTGGTTCAACATACACAACTCTACAAATGTAATTAATCACATAAACAGAACTAAAGACAAAAACCACAAGATTATCTCAATAGATGTAGAGAAGGACTTTGACAAAATTCAACAGCCTTTATGCTAAAAAACTCTCAATAAACTAGGTATTGATGAAACATTTCTCAAAATAATAAAAGCTATTTACAGCAAACCCACAACCAATATCATACTGAATGGGCAAAAACTGAAAGCATCCCCTTTGAAAACTGGCACAAGGGTGCCTTCTCTCACCAATCCTATTCGACACAGTATTGGGAATTCTGGCCAGGACAATCAGGCAAGAAAAAAAAAATCAAGCATATTCAATTAGAAAAAGAGGAAGTCAAATTGTCTCTACTTGCAGATGACATCATTTTATATTTAGAAAACCCCATCATCTCAGTGCAAAATCTCCTTAAGCTGATAAGCAACTTCAGCAAAGTCTCAGGATACAAAAATCAATGTACAAAAATCACAAGCATTCCTATACACCAATCACAGACAAACAGAGAGCCAAATCATGAGTGAACTCCCATTCACAATTGCTACAAAGAGAACAAAATGCCTAGAAATACAACTAACAAGGGAGGTAAAGGACCTCTTCAAGGAGAACTACAAACCACTGCTCAAGGAAATAAGAGAGGACACAAACAAATGGAAACACATTCCATGCTCATGGATAGGAAGAATCAATATTGTGAAAATGACCATACTGCCCCAAATAATTTATAGATTCAATGCTACTCCCATTAAGCTACCATTGGCTTTCTTCACAGAATTGGAAAAAACCACCTGAGACTTCATATGGAACCACAAAAGAGCCCACATAGCCAAGACAATCCTAAGGAAAAAAAATAATAAAGCTGGAAGCATCACACTACCTGACTTCAAACTATACTACAAAACTACAGTAATCCAAACAGCATGGTACTGGTACCAAAACAGAGATGTAGACCAATGGAACAGAAGAGAGGCCTGAGAAGTGACACAACACATCTTCAACCACCTGATCTTTGACAAATCTGACAAAAACAAGCAATGGGAAAATGATTCTCTATTTAATAAATGCTGTTGGGAAAACTGGCTAGCCATATGCAGAAAGCTGAAACTGGATCCCTTCCTTACACATTATACAAAAATTAACTCCAGATGGATTAAGGATTTAAACATAAGACCTAACACCATAAAAACCCTAGAAGAAAACCTAGGCAATACCATTCAGGACATAGGCATAGGCAAGGATTTCATGACTAAAACACCAAAAGCAATGGCAACAAAAGCCAAACTAGACACATGGGATCTAATTAAACTTAAGAGCTTCTGCACAGCCAAAGAAACTATCATTAAAGTGAACCAGCAACCAACAGAATGGGAAAGCATTTTTACAATCTACCCATCTGACAAAGGGCTAATATTTAGAATCTACAAAGAACTAAAACAAATTTACAAGAAAAAAAACAACCCCATCAAAAAGTGGGTGAAGGATATAAACAGACAGTTCTCAAAAGAAGACATTTATGCAGCCAAGAAACATGTGAGAAAAAAGCTCATTATTACTGTTGATTAGAGAAATGCAAATCAAGACTACATGGAGATACCATCTTAGGTCAGTTAGAATGACAGTCATTAAAAAATCCTGGAGAGGATGTGGAGAATAGGAACACTTGTACACTGTTGGTGGGAATGTAAATTAGTTCAACCATTGTGGAAGACAGTGTGGCGATTCCTCAAGGATCTGGAACTAGGAATACCATTTGACCCAGCTATCCTATCACCGGGTATATACTCAAAGGATTATAAAACATTCAACTATAAAGACATATGTACATGTATGTTTATTGTGACACTGTTCACAATAGTAAAGACTTGGAACCAACCCAAATGCCCATCAAAGATAGACTAGATAAAGAAAATGTGGCATACATACACCATGGAGTACTATGCAGCCATAAAAAAGGATGAGTTCACATCCTTTGCAGGGACATGGATGGAGCTGGAAACCATCATTCTCAGCAAACTGACACAAGAATAGAAAACCA